TCTTGATGACAAATTCCCCCTCCTCCCACCCCAAGAAATACATTTTTTTTTTATTCAATCCAGCACCAAAGACATGTTCACCCTATAGCCAGATCCTCCACATGTGATGTCACTCCCACTCACTGCAGGGGGAGGGACGTCCTGGAGGACAGGCTGAGTGGAGGACTTGGGCATCACATACAGGGGGGTGTGCCACCATTGGTAAGCTGATACCAAATATGCACAGAATTAACATAAACCAGTCTGGAAATCTCATTGCTGCCAATGAGGCTGTTGGATGTGGCAGTGCTATGTCATTTAACTCTTTATAGGCAGCGTTTGAAACAGAATCACTGAAGTGGTCATAATGGTCAAAGTAACCCTTTAAAGCAGGGGTGCTGCTTTGTAGAGTTGTTGTAGAACTACAATTCCCATGATGCTTTACATGCTTTTTAGAATGACAATGCATCATGGAAGCTGTAGTTTTAAATAATCTGGGCATTTAACTTTTGGGCAATCCTGCTTTAAAGGAACACTTTAAGCACCAGCTCTACTACAGCTTAATGATGCTGAATGCTTCTTAGATAGATGCATTGAACTAATGCATCTCTGTGAGGAGATTCCGGTTGGTGCGGACATTACCATGTATGTATACTAGTCTCTCAATGTTTTCTTATGGGGAAGCATTGTATTTGGCTGAGAACATCATCATTTATGATCTCAGTTGGGGTGGAGCGGCCACAGCAAGATAAGATTGTCAAGGGCTGAAAGGTAAGTAAATCTGTTTTAATAATTTAAATTTAATCTAAACTAGTAGCAATATGCTGGAGAGAGAAATACAGCCTTCACACTCACAATCTACCTCTCCAATACACTCTGTCACATCAACCCCCGCCCCCACCACACACACACACAGCCACATTGTTGCACTCACGTTACACACACTCATCCCTCAAAGAAAGTCACCCTGTAACACTCAATCATTACACACAGTTTCCCTGTCACATTTCCACAGTCACACTGCCCCAATCACACTGTTAGTCACTTTGCCACAGTCATCCTCATACACAGACACACCACACAGACAGTAACACTCATACACACACACAGTCACTCCACACTCACACGACACAGTCTCAAATAAATAAAAAGCACATATAAAGAACACAAGCAGCCTCCCCAAACACACAAGCAGCTCAAACATACATATATGCACTTGGTCACACAAATACACATGCTCACAGAACTACACTGACACAGATATGCATTCCAGGCACAGACACAAATACACATACACACAGATATGTAATCAGAGACGCACAAAAACACTCAATGCCAGACACGCACTCTCACACACATACACGTTACACCCAGGGTAGGCAACCATTGGAACTCCAAATGTTGTGGACTATATCTTCACTGATGCTCTGCCAGCATAATCGCTGTATGAGCATTATGGGACATGTAGTGCACAACATCTGCCGTGTCGAGGGTTGCCTACTCCTGCATTACACACTGACAGACAAACACAGTTATTAATATATATTGCCAGAAACATACTGTGATATGCAATATACATACAGCTATACACATGTGTATATTTATACATGTGTATACAGAACTGAGTACGTAATGAATAATGTATATGTAACAAGATTACAGATATTGACAAATGTTATTTATTTACAAAATTGTTTGCTTATATGTAACTTCATTATTTGGTACATGATTTTTTTTCATTTTTCTGTCCAACCAAAAAGTTTTGTTTTTAATTCCATAAAAAAATGTGCTATCTATGCATAAATAAATAAAAACTATATTTAAACTATATTTAAACCTTACTTTCCAGAACACCCCAAACACTCAGAATATGGGGTATATAAAACTCGCATTTTCATACATACATTTAGTACTTTTTCTGTTTTAACTTGACATATTTGTCAGTTGAATGTGACATTATTTCCTCCTCAGCAATTGCTTACCCAGAACAAAAAATTCTGCTACAGGTTAGAGCAGTGGTAGTCAACCTTTTTCTACCTACCGCCCACTAATGCATCTTTCTTGATACCTACCGCCCACCAGTTTTCGCGCAAGTGCAGAATATATTTTAGAAAGGAGGGTGTTTTAAAAAAATAAATAAATAAATGTATGTACACTTATCTTTTTAGTTCTAATTTATGCATGTTCATAATCTTTTTAACTTTAGAAAGTTTAATGAGAAAACAAAGTAAATTGAAATTACCTTTACTAGTGATTAATGAGATCCTTGAGGTTGATGCTACGAGACTAAATATTTGATATCTGGTTCGATTTTCGTAAGGAACAAACAAAGGTCTCCTCTTTCGCTGATATTCAGATGATTTCTCTGTTTGCTCATAATATGATTTCTCATCTGTGCATCAGCTCCCCTCCTCTCTCTCCTCAATTCCCCATCCCGCCTTTTTTTTTCTTCCTTTTTTCTATTTTTTTAACCTTACTTATAGCAGTGCCCAGTAGGAAGGCTGAGCTAGGCAGCCCACTTACTATTATTAGCCAACAACAATTCTCTCCTTTTCCTTTTCATTCTTTCTCCTTTTTTACAAGTACTCTACTCCTTCTTTCTCCTATTCTACAAGTACTCTGTGCCTTCTTTCTCCTTTTTACAAATACTCTGCTCCTTCTTTCTTCTATTCTACAAGTACTCTGCTCACAGACAAACACACACACACACACTCACACATACACTTACAGATAAACACACACTTACAGACACTCACACATACACTTACAGACACACACTCACAGAGAAACACATACACAGTCACACATACACTTACAGACACACACACATACACTTACAGACACACACACACATACACTTACAGACACACACACACACACTTACAGACACACACATACAGACACACACTTACAGACACACACATACAGACACACACACACTTACAGACACACACATACACTTACAGACACACACTTACACACTCACACACATACACACAAATAATAATATTATATGTCCACCCAGCCTCCCTACCTGAGAAGCTGGTGTGGATCTGTCCCTGTGGTCCAGTGGGGCTTCACTTCAGCGGGCGGCAGAGTTCAAATCCGAGGGGGCGAGGGAGCTCTAACCTCTCTGCTCTGCTTTCTCGCTGGCTGTCTACCGATGCCGGGAGCCGGAATATGATGTCATATTCCGGCTCCCGCTGCATCAGAAAACATCGCGCGAGGGAGCAGAGAGGTTAGAGCTCCCTCGCTGCGTCTGATCTTACCACTGTCGCACGCCATGCTGGTGGGGGGTCCAGAAGGTGGCCTGGCAGGAGGGAGCGCTTCCCTCCTGCCGGTCACTGAAATCTTGCGCCCGCATAGCCACTCGCGCCCGCACACCCAAAAGGAGAAATCCTCAAAAAAAGAGGATTTAGCCGTTGAAATCCCTACCGCCCACCTGGAATCCTGAAACGCCCACTAGTGGCGGTAGGGACCAGGTTGACGACCCATGGGTTAGAGGCTTTCAATTTTTTAGAAAACTTCTTGCAAATTTCCAACTTTAATTATTATTTTATATAGACCACGCCATAATTGTGGTCTAAAAATATATCAAAAAGACAAAAGATATGAATATATACGCGCAAAATAATGATGGAAAATGTAAATGCAACACTTTTATACAGAACTTCTGTAGTACTTAGAATACGTCCATCTTCAAGATAAGGCAGACCTACAGTTGATCCAACAAAAATCTAATCCTTTTGATTTGGGAGTTTAATTGCCTGTTATTTGTTCAATATTTTATATGTTTAATACCTGGTAAATTATTTCTACACAGGTTAGAATGTTGCAAGAAGTAGGAGACTTCTAGGCTCCTAATTGGAGAACCCGTTGGTGAATTGGCTGGTGATGATGACCCTACAAAAGAAATAATAAGTTCTGTTGCACATGACCCCCCAATAAATAAATAAAAAAAACACAATATATGTATATAGGTGTATATAAGAGAACCATTAAAACAATGTCTGCATCTGTTATGAACACTGTCTACTTGATGTGAAGTATGACGCTACAAAGTGTCTAAAAACCTTGTACAATCCTTACATAAAAAGCTTTCAACATTAACTCGCTGTTTCAGATTCTCCACAGGGAATCATTATGATGCCATTTGCCAAATGTAATCAATGCATGTACCTTGATTTGCATATGACCATTGAGTACATGACAATATGATCACAGTTGCATCAGACAGTATTACCCTGTCTGGAGCACCTGTGTTTAGAGACATAAATACTATGTCCTCTGGCCCTGACAGTCTCATGTCCATGAGTTCCCAGCAGGGGGAGGGAAGACAGGAATGACAAGAGGCAGCCTGTGGTGTGACAGCTGTTTCCAGAAGGAAATCATCCTATTACTGAACAATTAGTGTGTTTGCAAACTAAACTGACTGGGCCTGAAAGTTTAACCATTTGAGTGCTAAAGTTCAATGTTTATTTAGAGCAGTGGTAGTCAACCTTTTTCTACCTATCGCCCGCTAATGCATCTTTCTTGATAGAAAAATTTCCTTACCCCCCACCAGTTTTTTGCGCAAGTGCAGAATATTTTTTAGGAAGGAGGGTGTTTTAAAAAAATAATAAATGTATGTACACTTATCTTTTTATTTCTACTTTATGCATGTTTATAATGTTTTTAACTTTAGAAAGTTTAATGAGAAAACAAAGTAAATTGAAATTACCTTTACTAGTGATTAATGAGATCCTTGAGGTTGATGCTGCAAGACTAAATATTTGATATCTGGTTCGATTTTCGTAAGGAACAAACAAAGGTCTCCTCCTTCGGTGATATTCAGACGATTTCTCTGTTTGCTCATAATATGATTTCTCATTTGTGCCTCAGCTCCCCTCCTCTCTGTCCTCAATTCCCCTCCCCACCTTTTTTTTCTCCCTTTTTTCTATCTTTTAACCTTACTTATAGCAATGCCCAGTAGGAAGGCTGAGCTAGGCAGCCCACTTACTATTATTAGCCAACAACAATTCTCTCCTTTTCGTTTTCCTTTTCATTCTTTCTCCTTTTTTACAAGTACTCTACTCCTTCTTTCTTCTATTCTGCAAGTACTCTGCTCACAGACAAACACACACACACACACACACACACACTCACACATACACTTACAGATAAACACACATTTACAGACACAAACACTCACACATACACTTACAGACACACACACTCACAGAGAAACACATACACACTCACACATACACTTACAGACACTCACACATACTTACAGACACACACACACGTACACACAGACACACACACTTACAGACACACACATACACTTACAGACACTCACATATACACACATACACTTACAGACACACACACACACTTACAGACACACACACACACACACTTACAGACACACACATTCACACACACATACAGACACACACACAGACTTACAGACACACGCACACACACACATATACTTACAGACACACACATACACACACACATACACTTACAGACACACACTTACACACACACACACAAATTATTAATATTAAATGTCCACCCAGCCTCCCTACCTTGAGAGCTGGGGTGGATCTGTCCCTGGGGTCCAGTGGGGCTTCACTTCAGCGGGCGGCAGAGTTCAAATCCGAGGGGACGAGGGAGCTCTAACCTCTCTGCTCTGCTCCCTCGCTGGCTGTCTACTGATGCCGGGAGCCGGAATATGATGTCATATTCCGGCTCCCGCGGCATCAGAAAACATCGCGCAAGGGAGCAGAGAGGTTAGAACTCCCACGCCGCGTCTGATCTTACCACTGCCGCACGCCATGCTGGGGGGGTCCAGAAGGTGGCCTGGCAGGAGGGATCGCTTCCCTCCTGCCAGTCACTGAAATCTTGCGCCCGCATAGCCAGTCGCGCCCGCCCACCCAAAAGGAGAAATCCTCAAAAAAAGAGGATTTAGCCGTTGAAATCCCTACCGCCCACCTGGAATCCTGAAACACCCACTAGTGGGCGCTAGGGACCAGGTTGACGACCCATGATTTAGAGATTAATTTAAACTAGAACTTAGATTGCAAGCATGCTTGCGCAGCGCTTTCTTCACCTCTTGCGTCTGTCAACTTTATTTTTGTATGTCCAATCTTTGTTGCTAATCCCTTCAGGACGTTATGGCGTTCTATGCTGTCCTATACAGAGTGGGATTTGTAGTTGTTAGGGTGACATGGTCTTCCAGCACTAGTACCTAACTTGCCAATGCAGGGACCTGCCAAGCAACTGAAGCATTTCCTGGGATCCAATCGGCATCAGCAGAGTCAACAACCCTTCACTGGTGATCACAGTAACACGTGACAGCCAATGTGGGCAAACATTGGACTTGTTCACAAACTCTGCATTACGAGGGAGGCAGAGAGAGCATGATACAAAGTGTGTTAAAAGGAAAAAATATGCACTTCATCCAAAAAATAATTCACACTTTCAGAGAGGATCTAACTTTTTTTTGCTGTGTACTTTTCAATATTTGGCTTATTTTTAACCACTTTTCTCAGTTATAACCCTTTTAAAACTTTTATCCCATTCATGCCGTTGTTCAATAGCCGTTTCCAACCACAGCACTTTGTCTGTGATTAGTCTGATCAGCGCCTTTTGTCTTATTAACGTGATCTATAAAATTTTTCACTCTTGTTTTACTGATATATGTTAGTGAACTAAAAATATGAAAATAAAAAATATATATTATAAATCTTTCAGCTCTGTTTATTTCTTATCACAGCATTTTATACTGTGATCAATTTATTCCAGTTACTTCTTCTCTGTTTCTTTTTTATTACTGTATTCTTTAATAAAACAAAAAAAATTGGGGGGATGAGGGGGTGGGTGAGTCCATTTGTTGGGTGGAAGTGGGGATGTGAAATTTTTTTTAAGGATGTTAAGCTGCCCAGGGCTGCCAAGGCCCCTCAGGATAATTCCAGAAACATTCTTGCTAAACTTCGGAAAGACTCAGACAGCGCATATTCATGGGTCAAGGGATCTCCCACTCTATCAATCCAAGGGTCACAACTAACCTTTTACAGAGACTTCTCCACTGTGTACTTACTAAGTTATGGTATGAAAAAGAGATTTCATAAAAGTGGTGATCCTAATGACTGTTGGTGGAACAGTATTGCAAAACCTACTTCCTTATTCAAATGGTGTATGCACCAACTTTTCCCCATACTCTGGGACTCTCGTTTGATTATCTGCCACTAAAGGTGCCATATCAGCAGAACATTGATGCCATAGTACCATTTATCCTGGAACCTAGCACATCCACGCTGTCGGAGTCTCCCGACTGATGCTGCTTGTCCACAATTTTCCATACTTATCATATAGTTAGCCTGACTCTATTAGCTTTTGTTATGCTTACAATCAGCAGATTGTCTCCTCTGTCCTGAGATATTAGGAATTATAATTTCAAATACACTGGCTAAACAAAGGTGCATAAAAACATTAAAATATTAAGGTATTCCTTACATCAATTCCCCTTACAAAACTTTCATTGTTCTCCTCTTCCTAAGGGACAACTGTCACTTAAAATTTGTTTTCTAAAACCAAACAAACCCTCATCTCTACTTTTAGTATATAGGACAGGATTCTTCAGTCATATATATGCACCTCAGGTCAGACAGTGTTTAAAACAGACAGTAGGGGTTTCTTCAGAAAAAGCTGGTACAGTTTCTGGCCTCTCTAGTTACCGATTGGTTTACTTAAGAGGTTACATTTTGAACATCCAACAATAACTCCAAATCTCAGGTGTTGGCAAAACTATTTCTAAAGTCTACATTGATCACTTATCTTTGCACTATGTTACCAATAACAGAAATTCATTGGTTCCATCTAAGTATAATATGGGAACAGTTTGCTTTACAAATACTGGAGAATGTTTTTCACACAATCACTCTCTAATAATTTTGTGAAGTGATTTCAGTCTGCTATTTTCATTCTACAGTGAATATTAGAGTCTTGGAAGGACCAGTAACATATTTCTAACAAAACTGTAAAGAAGGAAAGATTATACCCCACTGTATTTCATATTTATTACAGCAACTTCAAAAATTCCCTCCTTCATTTATGGCCAAAAGGGAGTAAGAATTGGGATTGATAATTATTATTTAACAATGGGACAAATGTGCATCCTAATACATCATTGTTCAATATTATCTAGTTTACAAGAAAAGAATACAAATTATTAACCCATTTGAATAGAACTCCTGTGCTGGAAATTGCTTTGCCCAATTTAGATTGTCTATGTCAGTGACGGACAGATAAGGGATCAATACCACATATTTTGTGGTCATGCCTACTAATTAAACAATGCTGGCCTACAATACATTCTATCATGACCTCTACTGATGACCCATCAAATTCATGTACACCCAGAGCTATATTACTTAATCCTTCTACACAAACTTCACCTGCTAATAAGAACTTACTTACAATTGTTACATAGTTATATAGCTGAAAAGAGACTTGCCCTACCTCACATGTTTTTGCTGTTGATCCAAAAAAAGGCAAAAATCGGAAATCTTAACGCTCTCACTGAAGTCTGATCTCACTCCATGCATGATACAAATCCACCATCCCACAGGAAATGGTTAATTAAAGCAGACCAAAATAGAGTAATAGAAGAGTTAGTTTATACCTTCAACAACAATCTTCCATCAGATTAACTAAAATGGATAACATGTTTTAAGAATGTTACACTCAGATAATGTGGAAATACATTAGGAATTATAGAAATATTTAAAGAGCCTTAATATAATTTCTGGAACACAAGGGGGAACCCCTTTTCCGCCCTTGTACTTATACAGCTGAGCGATTTATTTTTATTATGTTTCTTCCTTTTCCACCATACAGATAGTGTACTATCTTACACAATGAGAGCATTGTATCAGCGTTTGTATAACCCAGATTAACTATAGTAACAAATTAATACTTGTATAGAAAAAGTGATACAAGTATTAATCCAAGGTGCTTGCACTCCAGGTATATAATGACTGTGATGCCCGGTAAATCCAAGGTGCTTGCACTCCAAGTATATAATGACTGTGATGCCCGGTAAATCCAAGGTGCTTGCACTCCAGCTATATAATGACTGTGATGCCCGGTAAATCCAAGGTGCTTGCACTCCAGGTATATAATGACTGTGATGCCCAGTGCGATTCCAGCAAACAATCATAGGTATCCAAAAAAACAGAATGCACTCCAGGGTCTTTGTAAAGTAAAATTTAACTTTTAATTCATATACGAAATAAAAAAATAAACATCAACGTTTCGGCTCACATATGGAGTCTTCATATCTGCCATCCTGAAGAAGGCTCCAGATCTGAGCCAAAACATTGACGTTTATTTTTTTATTTTGTATATGAATTAAAAGTTAAATTTTACTTTACAAAGACCCTGGAGTGCATTCAGTTTTTTTTGGATACATATATATATATATATATATATATATATATATATATAAACAAAAAATAAAGAGATGCACTCTGAGGACTTAATAAGTGAAAAAAGGGGTAATTTATTCTAGTAGGTATTACATCAAAAATTAATTATATATATATATATATATATTATATGCATAATTGTTTAAAATAAACACAAATATTTTCTGCATTATAAATTAAATGAAAAAATAACACCCACAAACGCTAGTAATTTTAATGAAAGGGGTTCAGAACGAAGAAATATAAAACAAAAACAAGAGTTGTTAAAAAATAGTCATGATTTTGCAAACATTTTGCTAAAACTGTATTATAATTTTGGCATTTTATCCTTAAGCCCCTAAGGATGAGTGTTAGGCAAGTGCCATCATTTCATGACACAAATGGTATATTATCAGTCATCAAAGGGTTAAATTGTGTCACTGTAGACATTTGTTAGTAGGATATAAATTGTTTTACTCATTAAATAATAAATTACATATGGTTATATTTAAATAATGATAAAAGAGCAAAACTCACCAGAAATGTTGAAATCCAGTCCCTCTCTCAGTAGTGCTAACAGTGAGACTGCACTAGGAAACAGTCAATCTCTGGATATATGAGGGAGCATCCAATCAGCTCTTCTCTCAGAACTCTTATTTCTGAATTCAATATATAGAGTGTTTCGTACTATTAGCTATGAGCTGGACATGCAGGGCTGTTTTTTTTTTTCTCTCCTTGTTGCCCCAAGGCCAGTTTCCTCAATGCACCCACGCAGTGCCATCTTAACAGCATTATAGGCCCCTGGGCAAAGCAGTGCACTGGGGCCCTACCTACACAACAATCCTAACAAGGATTAAAAATTTAAAATATCAATAAAATGAAGCTTATATTTATTGGTACCTCCAACAAATGCAATAGATACATACAATACATACACACAGACTGCTGAACACATGCACACACAGACTGCTGAATACATGTATACCAACTACTGATTACATGCACACAGACTGTTGAGTACACACACAGACTGCTAAATACATACACAGTCCAATGAATACACACACACACACACACACACACAGACTGCTGAATACACACAGGTTGCTGAATACACACACACACAGACAGACTGCATGGCAAGAGTAGGGGCATGTCACATAAACAGCGAGCAGCCGCTGTCATTTAAAACGGGATATAAATCTAGTATGGGGGTCACTCTGACCCCCATATTAATAAAAGGGAGGTTAAATCCTCCTGCATGCACCTACTCACTCCACAGCCCCAGGATGAAAGCACACGGTATTTGCAAGATCCAGGATACAGACACGTAGTCTCCCGACTCCACAGATTTATAGTGCAGAAGCTAATTATAGTCTATTCTCTGTTGAACGCTATTATAACGTGTTTTAATCCACTGCGTTTTACGTTGTTATCATTTTACTTTGTTACACATTAACTACCCCTGCAATGACTCATATTACTTATAGCAATTTCTTGACACATTATAACCCACCTACCCCCAACTTCGAACCCTAGGGTTATAGAGTTCTTACACCCTGTAGTTTCTCTCACATAATCTCGTGGTCACTACTCTATCCTAATTCTCCTTGACCTTTCTGTGGCTTTTGGCACTGTTGATCATCAACAGCTTCTTCTCATCCTTCGCAATATCGGTCTACAAGATATTGCTCTCTTCTGGTGCTCCTCCTACCTCTCCCAGTGCTCTTTCAGTGTTTCTTTCTCTGGCTCTGCTTCTTCTCCCCAACTCCTCTCTGCTGGTGTCCCCCAAGGTTCAGTCCTTGGTCCCCTACTGTTCTCCATCTATACTGCCTCCCTTGGTAAACTCATTAGCTCCTTTGGCTTCCAATATCATTTCTATGCGGATGACACACAAATCTGTCCTCTCCTGATCTCTTCCCGTCCCTCTTGACTAGTGTCTCTGACTGCCGCTCTGCTATTTCTAACTGGATGGCTGCCCACTTCCTTAAACTCAACTTGACCAAAACTGAAATTCTAGTCTTTCCTCCCTCAAGTCAACGGTGTTACCATCAGCTCCACCACAGGGGCTTGCTGCCTAGGTGTTCTCTTTGACTCCAACCTCTCCTTCACGCCTCATGTTCAGTCTATCGCCAAATCCTGCCGCTTCCATCTCAAAAATATTGCGCGCATCCAACTATACTTAACGCCAGATGCGACTAAGGTACTGGTCCATTCCACTGCTCTTTCTCACGTTGAC